ATATATTCATATGATTCTTTTTGAATACTATCTACATATTTCAAAATTTTTAAAATAGTATATATTAAATACATTGTTATATACAACACTGAGCCACTAATATAAAAAATTTATTTGTTAAAATTCAACTAAAAAGTACAGTACAAATGTTTAAAAAATGAAACAAAAATGGCTGCCTGACTGAGAGCAACAGAGACGAGAATTAGAAGAGGAGATAACTCTGGACAAATAATACCAATCTAAATGATTACGGTTAATAGATTGTTGGATAAAAATAACTAGTAATATGTTAATTCCAGTAAGCAAATTCTTTTTAACCTCAAAGAAATATGAACAGCTAAAAACAGTTAAACTAAATAGTTTCCAAGATTAAAATATCTGAGATTGAATTACATTTAAAATAAATGCTATTTTTCTTGGTTGAAAGTACTTTGTATAAAATATACAGAGAAAATAATATTTCCTGTATTTTTTCAGTTTCATTGTAGAAAGTTTCTTTTTTTTATTTTTAAATTTTGAGCTCTCAATTTTTTCATTATGGAAATATCAACACCTACACAGATGTAGGCAGACTGAACTAATAAGACAATAGAAATTACAAGGAAAGTTTTTAGATAAATCAACTATATCAATTCTTAAAATAATAAAGTGAAAATTTATTTATGTTTAAATTTAAATATGCACAATAAATACACAGAAATTAAATTCAACCTATTTTAGAAAATATAAAATTATAAATTTGTAAAGTTATAAATTTATTATTACAGCAAATTTTACTGATTTATAAATGCTGCATATAGTAGTAAATATAAATTAATTTAATAATCATTATTTATTTATCATTTTATTATTATTATAATATTATTTTATTGTAATTATTATATTACTATATTATTATTACAATATATTATTATCATTTAATTCTAAGTTTATCCTTAGTTTCCAAAACTCTACAAATGAAAATGAAGATTTTTTTTTTTTTAAATAGGTTATTATCGGAATCAATACCAAAAGTAAATGAAGATCAAATTCAGTAGTAATTTGCCAATAATAATAATAATAATAAAAAAATAGCTTTTTATGAAGCTAAACTTAGTCTGGCATGAAGCCCCCATGTGTGAGGTGTTTTATATGCAATTTTGTTATGCTCTTTTCTTCTTCCATAACATTCATTTGGTGATTTTCGAGTCAAAACTTATATACAGTAAATAAATTACCAACAGAATTGTCTTGGGAGCAGGAGGATTAGAAATTAAAAAAATCAGAAGATGAAGAAAACCTAACTAAATAAAAATAAAAGTACACAAATATAATGCAAATGAAAAAAAATAAAAAAATAAAATTCTGACCATAATTAAAAATGAAGATATCTTTATTTATTTTGCAATATATTTTAAAATATCAAATATAAATTTATAGTATATTATTCATAAGCTATTTGTAAAAAAAACTGATACCTTAAGTTAAAATATTTACCTCATATAACAAATGATTTTTTTACTCTCATTATAAGTACTGCTGTCATATATGGGCAGGAGCTACACAGTCTTCACTTTTCAGTCGATAGAGTCCAAAAGCCTCCCCATATCCTTGTAAGTGACATTATTTTCCACTCTACAACCCCTTTCTCACAGACGAAATGTCATGAGCCTCTTGCTGCTCTATCATTATTTCCATGGAAATTATTCAAATGAACTAAATTTCTTAGTTCCATCAGTCTTAATCATAACACCTGTCATACTACCTGAATTATAGTGAACCACCCTCATTCCTTTTGTATTCCTTTTGGTGAGATGGAAGTTCCACTCAAGCAACTTCTCATGAACCACTGTATTGTGGAACCGACTCCCAAGAGGTTGCTTTTTTCCAGAACACTACGATCTTAACCTGTTCAAGTTTAGGGTTAACCATTATCTTCCCCATCTATCCGCATAAGCTGTATTTCTTACTCTGTAACCCTCTACCTTGAGTGGCTCAAGAGACTTGTACAGGGTGTATATAATTGTAAAAAAATATCATATAATGAGCAATATAGGAGGTTTGTCTGGAAATGATCCAACGATTTTGAATGTCTTGACTACAGATTGCCAACCAACCAGAGGGAATGTTTTTTGTACACTATCCCATGCGGTTACTCAGAAGAGAAACCCCAAGAAGCAAGTTTATGTACTGTGCAGCTTTTGCATTCATAATTCATTTTTTTCACAACTTGTACATCAAATCACCCAAGTCAATTAGCCTTCCTACAATGCATGTTTAGCTCCTAACTCCTGGCTTTTCCCAAAACTAAAATCACTGTTGAGTAGCCATGGTCGAGATTAAGGTGAATACAATAAAGTAGCAATGGCAATTCTGAAAAAGGATTTTGAAAAGCAAATGTCACACTAGGATAAGTGTATGAGTTTCCAAAAAGAGTACTTTGAAGAGGACTAATGCACCACTGCTATCTTTTTTTGTTAACATATTAATGCCCAACATCTCCCAATTTTTAGCATTAGCTATAGGTTCAGTAACCTATAAATAAGATATAGTTTCTATAATAAATATACCAGATACAGAAATACCAAATCTTTAGTTAGATTCCCAGATGGAGACACTAGCTTCCTCAACATTAAAGCAGGGGTCCTTCAGGGTGCCACCCTTGCACCTTTTCTCTTATCACCATTGATGACATTGAGAACTTCACTTGACAAATATCATCATCTAGGTTTTACTTTATCAAGACTCTCAGGTCTTACAAGACGTTGACCGATATCGACTATGACCTAGCTGTCACAGCAAACACCATTACCAATGCCACAGTCCTCCGACATCAAAAATGCTTCTATTGAAGCTGGATTATGTCAATGACTGTAAAACTCAATTCATAAACTTCAACCAACAAAACTAAATACAAACTGTCTCAACAGAATTAATAAAATCTGTCAAATCTTTTACATATCTAAGAAGTAGGATAAATTCTACTGAAAAAGATGTGAAAATCCACATAGCAAGACATCCTTGAATAAAATGGATGTAATCTAGGTATCTGATCTACCAGACAACCTCAAATGTAGATTTATTCATGCTACTGTAGAGGCAATTTTAATGTATGGTGCCACTGCTTGGACATTAGCTAAAACCCTAGAGTTTAAGCTTGATGTAACCTACACTCAGACGCTAAGTGCTTTATTTAACATCTCTTGGAGAATGTCCAACTAAATCACAGCTCTATGAGCCCATCTCTGATATTTCTACAATCTTATGTGAATGCAGAATGTGCTTTACATATATAAAACTGTATTGCTGATATTTTTACTATAACAATTATTTTTATACTGCTGGCAAGCAAAACAAGAACTTGTGAGTGATTTACTGCTTTGGACATCTAGCCATGGCACAAGACGGGTTGGTCACCCAGCAATCACCTACATTGACAAACTATGTTATGACACAGAATGCCACCCTAATAAACTTCCAACCTTGATGCAGGACTGTGATGGTTGGTGTGATAGACTCATGAATGTCAACTGAATGAATTTATAGTGGTTATTAATGGGTCAAATTAAATTACTGGATACATTACAGGTGTACCTTATCGGAATTAATAACAGAGAAATAATGTTTTATAATAAATCCACCAGTTTTAAAATTGGCAATTACTTCTTTAAGTTATTCAGCTTTGGTTGGTTGGCTGATTTTGTTTAGCAGCATATCAACCTCTATAGGTTATTTAATGCCAAAATCTAAATATTTTAAACATAAATTTATGGCTTCAACTAAATATATCATGAATGCTAGTGTATGCCTTCAACTACAAATAAAATTTCTTGCATTTTTTCACATTCTATAATCAAAGGAAATTTAAGTTAATCTCAAAATTAATATTCTTTATAACCTGAATTTTTATTCTGCATTAATAAAAGTGATGAAAAAAATTTAATGATTTAAAAAAAAAAAAAGAAAAAAAATAAGAGTAAAAATATCAAAGATATATGTTAATATTTTAAATTCATAACCCCTCCCCCACCATCTTGTGCACTGTAGGCTAAAAAAAAAAAAAAAAAAAAAAAATCTAGCAAATGACAGTCTCTCTGCAACACCATATTACCTCCTGAAATACTAATTTCCTTTAAATCAAAAAAAAAAAAAGAAAAACAATGTCAATTATATGACAGAAATATTGTTAGTTTTTTATAATTTTTACAAATAAAGGGAAAAAAAGATTTTTAGCAAACACCATCATAAGTAAACAAAATATAAATGAAGACATTCACAATGCGAGTTTTTTTCAAAATTTTTCAGAACAAGGACTTTAAAAAAATAGAAAAAAATAAACATCTATTAGTAAAAGCATATATAGCAAAAAGAAGTGTAAAGAACAATGATAAAGAAAAGTATAAATAAACCACTATAACTTTTGACATTAATCAATAGGAGGGGTGGGACAAAATCCATATAAAAAGCCATCCATAATGCAATTATTTTCAGCTTAGTTGAAATATATGTTTTTCATTATGGCAACATGCATATGTTTAATTCTGCTCATACAAAATTGATATTTTTTTATAGCAAGAAAAAATATAAAAAGAGAGAAACCCCAAAGAAACATGAATAAAAAAAAAATTAAAATAATTCAGAGAAAACTAAAATGACATTTTTTTTGTAGGTTTCATGAAAATTGTGAGTATGGAATCAAAAGCAACATTTTTGAAAGAAAAAAAAAATTGAAATAAAAATAATGATTTTATTTATAAAACCATAAAATAAATAAAATTTAGTACTAAGATTGTTTTTCTATCCTAAGGGACTGACTGCCTTGTGGGTGAAATAATTGTATATTTCTCACCAGTGACAGAGGTCAGTATTCAACTTCAGGTAAAAGATTAGATTTCAAATTCTCTTCCCACTTGGATGTTTGACACAACACAATCTTCCTTGACTAGTTTCTCCATTGTACAGTGTTAAGCTTAGCAGGTAATAATATAATTTGCCCCAGTTTAAATATGTACATATATAATTTACTTTATAAATATATGAGAGGAGAAAGGGAAGGAGAGAAAGGCGGAGGGAGGTAGGGAAGGAGAGAACAGCGGAAGGAGGTAGGGAAGGAGAGGGAAAGAGAGAAAAAGAGAGAAAAAGAAAAGAGAGGAAAAGAGAAAAATAGAGGGAAAGGAAAAAGAGAGAAAAAAATAGAGGAAAAAGAGAAAAAAAGGGAAAAAGAGAAAAAGAGAGGGAAAAAGAAAGAGAGGGAAAGAGAGAAAAATAGAGGGAAAGAGAGAAAAAAATAGAGGGAAAGAGAGAAAAAAATAGAGGGAAAGAGAGAAAAAAATAGAGGGAAAGAGAGAAAAAAATAGAGGGAAAGAGAGAAAAATAGAGAGAAAGAAAAAGAGAGTGAGAGACAGACAACAGGAGAAAGAAAAATAAACTGCTACATCTTTCAAAAAAGCAAAAGAATAAAAAAAAAAAATGCTAATATTGTAGACTTTTTTAATTTTTTGCTAGTTCTTAACTTTGAACCCAATTTAAATTTTTCCACCATTTATTTGTTCTATAAGTTAAATCCTTTGTAATTAATGGTATTCCCAAAGGTTTTTTTTAGCAAAATGAATGAGTAAAACAAAAGTAAATTAACGCACACTATTTCGGTCATATATGCTACTGTTATCTAATTAACTAAGATACTGCACTACTAAATTCAAGGCTAAGTAGAAAACGAAATATGTGACTAAAAAAAAAAAATGATATTTTGTATTTTCTGTTGTTGGTAGTTATTGGTAATCACAGATAAGTAATTGCTATTGCTTAGAACTATCAACAAATCAATTCTAAAAAATTAAAAAAAAATCTTTTGAAATAAACTATAGAGCACTCTTTGGATCAAAGAAATAATTCCTCCTGATCCCACAACAAAAATAAATAAATAAATGGTCATAAGCAAAGAAGTGTTGGTAGATTAGTAGGCGGTTAGATTAAAGAAGAAGAGGGGGGATTATATTATAAATAACAAATTATTCAACATTTCAAATACTTAATTTGAATTTCTTAGATGAATCATTGTCAAGTATTTAATTTTTTATTTAATCTTAATTCCTGTTCCTTTTTGTCACTACTCCCAGATCGTCATCAGTATTCAAGGGTGATAACTTCTGTAATATTGTTTGAATCACTTCAACCAGTATTTAGTATTCATTTTTATTTAATCTAAATTACAGTTCCTTTTTTTACGACTCCCAGATCTTCATTTCACAATCATTAGTAAGCAGCATAGATTGAAAGATATTCTTTGACCAACACTGCTTACAAAAAGATCATATAATAAATGATTTGCTGATTTCAAGATTAAGATGATTAAAAAAAAAAACTACTCTAAAATTAATAATAGTTTTAACTACTAATAACAATGGCATGAAAGCTTAAATTGTTTTTTTTTAAATATTTAGGAAAAATATATAATTATTTTTTTTATAAAAAAAAAGATATTTTTTTATTTTTACATGGTTTATTGGTTTTAAAAGAAACCTGTCCTTTTTTTTCAAATATGTTTATGAATAATTTAAAGGACTTTAATTGCAAAATTATATAAATGAAGCCAGTTTGAGTATCAATAAAAAAAAGTTGAATAAATGCTATTATAGAAAGTTAATATTGCAAATGGTTAGCTCTAAACAAAAAGGAAGCAAAATTCCATGTAAGGTGCAATATGGAGGTAGTGCCTTTTTTTTTGTTAATGGAATTACAAATAGTTTGACTAAAGCAGTTTTTAGTGCAGGCAGGTTGTACTACCAAATCTAGTGTAAGAGAAGTCTACCTGGTGGAACCACTTCAGTTGGTGAAGGTGGAGGAGTCTTAATTCTGGGTGAAATTTCTGCAAAATGATAATTATATTCATGTAAAGTATTTATAAAGTAAAAAAAAAAGTATCATTTGATGTCATTGATGAAATACTGGCAGCATTTGATAAAATTAAAACCTCAAAGTGCATCATCTTTCACAACAAATTAAACAAATAAAATAAAGTCTATATTAGAATTTAAATTAGGAATATCTGTCTTGAAAGTTTTTATAAATAAAAAAAACAAACAATTTTTAACTATTTTGCTTAAACCAATTGAAGCATACTCAAGAAATCAAATTGAGAATTTTTTCCAAACTCATATAAGTAAAGAATGCATAAACATGAAAATACGGCATCCATTTAAATGGATAAAAGCTATTACAAGATGGTAAGACTGATTTGATGGTCTGATAAATTTACTTAATTACATGTACAAATCTGTTAAATGTTAATATAAAAAATTGGTACAAAATTACTGCCCAATGAAAAACACTTCTCTGCTCCAAAAAGCAGCTACTTCATTCATTATGACAGCTTCTATCTTTTAGTAGTAAATTTCTTGAATTTCAATGATCCTCAAATTTTAGCTACCATAAAAGCCTAATGACCATGTTCTTTGAATTCTTGTTTAAGAGACAAAAAAATATTCACATAATTCATTATACAGACATTCCCCAAATTATACAGGAATTATGAGAATTTAATCCAAAGAGAAACAAACTGGCTGAACAGTTTTAAAGCTTAGCATTGGTTTATGCAGTTATCCATTTGAAACCTTGTTTTTCAATTACAAGATGTCAGAAAATGTTAAAATCAAATGTCAGTATATCTGATTTATTATTTTATAAATATAACTCAATCATCAAATGTTTGAATAAAATAATCAGTTATGTAGTCTGGGAAGTAATTTGAAGCATTGGTTGTAATTATACACTATTATGCACCGCAAAACTAACACTCAAAACATGTAGGAAGTTTTTTTTTTGTTTTTTTTTTTAATGAGGTGTAGATTTTTTAAGACTAGATTCGGATCTTTTCTGTTAATTCAAACAAAAATTAATTCACCATAAAATAGAAAGAATTTATATTTACTAAAATTCACACCAAATTCTCCCAGAATGAAGCCCTTCCATTGCATTCCAGTTGGGTTGACCTTTGTGATTGACCCAAATATGTGGGTGACTCGGGTGTTTTTTTTTTTAAATTGTAAAAAGTTTCTTGTTAAGTACCTGGAATATCATATGCACTTACAAAATATAAATAATTCCCTGATTTTTGTAATTTTTTTATTCTGATGATTGGAGTTGTTGTAAGGCAAGTTAATCAAATTTTGATTTAAAATTTATACAATTTCAAAAGAGTGCTAAATATTTAATAAAAAAAATGATTTAAAATTTATAATTTCTTAGGGTGAATTAATAATTGCAATAAGTAACTTTACATCATTTGGGGTGAATTAACAGAAAATATCCCTAGATTCTTCTCATTTATAAAAGACAATTTTTAAATTTGATTTTTGAGAATTCATTATGTCACTGCGATTTTATAGAAACATTATTAAAACTGGGGAGTGTCTGTAATTTTTCTAATATATTTGAATAAAGTTTTGTAAAATATTAACAATGTTCAAGATTATCAACAAAAAAAATGACTAGATAAAGAAAAATATTCTGAATGGATTCAACATTAACCAAAATTTTCAAAGACTTACATGCCATAGAGACAAAAATTAGCAGAGAAAATATAAAAAAAAGATCTTGAACATTCTTTATAGAATTTTTTCCAGAAATAGAAACAACATGCTACTGACTTTCATTTTCTTTTTTCCAAAGATAAAATTGGTCACACTTTAAAGACAGTGCGTACAAATGCAAGGAAAAGAAAAAGAAAAGAAAAAAAGAATGCAGAGAAAGAGAGAGAGAAAGAAAGAAAACTCTTTCCCTGCAAATCAGGCAGATTCAAAAGAAAGCAGGAAACATCAGAATTTTAGTTTCAGATGACAAATAGCTTGAACAAACTTAGAAGAAAAAAAGTACTACATCTGTCCCATAATAGTAGATATATTTACATGAAATGCAACAACTATTATGGGATAGAAGCATGAATTAATTTATTGGGCAATGAACCAGTTTTGGAAAAACGAAGTGTTTATGTTATTGAAATCAGAATATCAGAATACCATATTAATTAAAGTGGAAAAATGCTATCAAAAGAAGCTTTACGTTATTCAACAGGAAAAAAAAAAAAAACAAAACAACAAAACAAAAGGAAAAGGAAGCAATTTCAAGGAAACAAAAATAAATAAATAAAAATAAACAAACAAAAATTAGTAAGTAAAATAAAACAAATAAAACTGAAAAGGAAAATAAATGAAAATTCAGAATAAAATAAAAAAAAATATTTCAGGGTTCTATTGTTCAAAACGAATCCACAAAATGACTGTTCATAATTAAACAAAGAAAAAAATCATATCAGAAAAAATGATAGTTCCAAATCAGTCCAAATTATATATATATATATATATATATATATATATATATATATATATATATATATATATATATATATATATATAATTCATGAATCATTCACACAAAAAACAAATATAGAGGTTAATGATTTAAATGGCAAGAATACATCTTCGCAAACAATATAAATGAGATACATCAACCCCAAACCTGTATATAAATGATATGATCCCTGTTTGCGAAGATGTATTCTCGCCATTTAAATCATTAACCTCTATATTTGTTTCTTGTGTGAATGATTCATGAATTTATAAATTATAATTTGCACCTTTAATTGAAATTAAAATATATATATATATATATATATTTGGAGTATAATTATTGTATATTTTAAGACAAGTACAGAATTTGTATGATGAAAGCACTACATTACTGTGTAATCAAAGTGTGTGTAAAAATAAACCCCCAAAACAAAGTAAAAATAGCAAATTAAAACAAGTAAATACAGGGTGTGGCAGAAATACCTCCAACATATCCCTCCCATCAATTATGAATCAGTTTAATTTCTCACTGGATGCCTCCATACTTTCAGCCTTATGCCACATCTAAGCTAAACTTAGAAAGCCACCATATACTGCCCAGAAATACATTCCACATAATAGTAAGACATTAGTGGTAATGGTGTCTTTATCTAGCTAGTATCTTACCATTATGTGCGAGGTATTTCTGCTACACAGTGTATAATAATTATTTAAAATAGAAACATATGCACAAGAATATACTTTTCATGTTGTAAGTTTGCTTATATAGAGTTAACCCATATTGTTAATTTGTCATTGTGGATTAACTTCTAAAACGATTCTGTAGCCAATATCTTTCACTCAGAAAAATGAATTCATTAATAATCATTTTTGAAAGAAAGGCTGATGACGGATTTTTGCTTGTTCTTATTTTTTCATGTGAAGACCATAGAAATAAAATAAAAACAAGACAGATTTTAGTAACGTTTTCTCATGGTTGCAAAATACTAACCCTGTAAGAACCCTTCAAAAAAAAAAAAAAAAAAAAAAAAAAAAAAAAAAAAAGAAAAAGATCTTTAACCTCAACAAAAAAAGAACATGACCCTTCACCATTGAAAGCAAACTGAATTGCATGCAAAATTTAGAAGTTTCAAAAAGAAATATGTAAAATTGGTAATTTTTTTTTTGTTTGATTTTTTTATAGATCTGACACTGCAAGCAACCCATGCTTATTCATAGCATGCATTGTACCTTTCTGTTCTGGCTCTGAAATGGAGCTGGAACTGGAAGCTCTAGAGCCCGAGATATCCACACAAGGAGCCATCATCACCTGCGATATTTGTTCTTTATCAATAATTTCTTTTTCAACCACTTCCTTACTGATTGGCTCTGAGCTGACTGTTTCTTTGATAGCTGAGCTGACCGAGGTGGTCCCTTTCTCCTTAGATATTATCAAGCCTTCATTCACTGTTTTCTTTTCATCTGTTGCAGATGAGGAAATAAAAGTTTGTACTGCAGTGTTACTTGATTCTTTCATTCATTTTCTTTCTATCTTTTTTGAGGAATAGATGTGAAAAATTATAACATACATGTACACACACATACACACACATTTGTTCCCTTGTGAAATATACAGCATTTGTCATAGAAAAACAATTTACAATATTTAGCCAAAACAGTCGGGGTTATATATTGATTTTTAAAATCAAAAATAAGGCTTCAATAAATTTGTAATTTTTAGTAAAGACTTTTTCCAGGAGAAAATTAGTACTAATTAGAAAAAAATTCTTTAGGTTAAAAAAAAAAAAAAATTTGGAAAATTTAATACAAGCATTTAAGATGATTTTACTAAAGAAAAATTTTGTTTACAAAATTTAAAAGATAAACAATTAATAAAAAAATTTATCAATACATTTCTAAAAATAAAACAATAAAAAAATTACATTATTAGGATGTATCAAAAATATTTTTACTCTGAAAGCATATAACCGACTCCCAAGAGGAAGTTTCCCCTGATCACTACAATCTTAACCTGTTCAAATCTAGGGTAAACCATTATCTTCCCCATATATCCGTATAAACTGTGCCTCTTACTCTGTAACCCTCTACCTCTAGTGGCTCCCGGGCCTTGTACAGTGTGAACTTCAATGTAAAAACTAAAAATAAAAAAATATACACATCTAAAGGGTACCTATGACTTCACTATATTAAAATTATCATTACAACCACTATTCTTATTCTTATCATTACAACTACTATTCTTCTTTTTTTTTCTTCTTATTCTAAATTTTCTACACGCAGCGTGTGAAAGCACATGCAATACCCTGCTCTCATCAGCCACCAGAGGTAACACAGTTTTGGTGGCTAAGGCTGTACTGCCACCCTTGGTGCCACCAAACAGGGTATTGTTTTTCGTTGTCACTCTCAGTGATTTTTATGCAACTGCAAGTCAGATTTTCAACATTGTGTTCAAAAAAAGTGTTTGCTTTTGAATGTTAAATAAAACATGACATGTTCATAGTGGCCATTTTCAAAGGTGTGTAAAGGAAGTTAAACAGATCATTGTATTGCAAGCATGGTTTTAATTAATTTTGTTTTGGATCTTGACCATATCCAACTTGATACCTGTTGAGCTGTGGTCTACAACAGATGATGTGAAGCACTTTTCAGGTACCAGCCAGTGATGCCCACCTTCAAAAGGAAGGAAATGATTACCGTCCAAGGAATCCACAGCACCCAGCCTCAATAGGTACCACATGGCATGTCCATCCCTTTTCCACACAGTTGGGACACAGTGATTCATAGCAGTTTTTCTTTTGCCCGTGTGCCCCCTCCAGTGGAACTGTTAATTCTACTAGGAGGACACACTTGTAAAAATTAAAGTTGGTTTCAATATTATTTAAAGCATATGTGTAATTAAAATATTAATGAATAAATAAAACTTGTAAGAAAAGTTATACACAGATATGTATTATTATTAATATCATTACTGGTACTATTCAGCTATACATATTGTTTTTAGTTGTTATAATGGTAGATACAGGTACTGAGATTCTAGCAATTCCAGGGCATTATTCTAAACTTGGGACTGAAAACTGCTGAAGCAGCTGACAGGATTAAAGAATTTTGATGAAATAAAGCAATATCTGACATTTTTTTTCTAAAGGGTCCCTTGAAATAAAGCCCAGAAGTAGACAACTGTCAGCTACCTATTATGAGGTTTTAAAGTGAAAGGTAGATGAGAACTTGACAAGCAGCACCCCTTCAAATCTTCCAAACGAGACCATATATAAGGAGCATTAAAAAAAAAAAAAAAAGCATACATGAGTTCTTGAAAGATCTCGCACACATATTATATAAAATATCACACATTGAGTGTCTGTGTCAATAAAATAGTGCTCGATGTAATATAATAGAGCTATTAAGTAGATATTAATAAATATACATATTATCCCTCACCGGTGAGGAATTATATATATGAAAATACTTTTGATACACCCTAATAATACAAAAACTCAATAATAACCACTGGAAAATAGAAAAGTATTTGTTTTTATACCAGTTTTAGTAGAAAGACATTTTTAATTGATTTGAATAACATACAAAATATGTCTTGGTTATGATTAAATAAGTCACAAAATAATTATTATAAGAAATTAGTATTTCTTCTTTCTTTTATTTTTATAAGAGGAATTATAACAAAACATCTACGTGCAGTGAGTAAAAATGAGGAATGTCTTGTTAAAGAAAATCTTGGTGTGAGTTTTGTAATTAAATTATTTCACACAAAAAATAACAGTTATAAAAAAAAAAAGGGTAATTATTTTGGTGAAAATTTCTCTAACCTTTACTATATGTTAATGAATTCATTTAGTCATTCTAAATTTTATTCAGACATTTTGAAAAAAATAACAACAACAAAAAAAATGAATGTTTTTTTTTTGTTTTTTTTCCCTTATAGCTCATGTAATTGAATAGAGTGGCTCAAATGTTTTGGCAACAACACAAAGGAGATCAGTAACTCTGAATAAAATTTTTTAATGCTAATGACTCTTTGCAAAATCATTTATAATTAACTATTAAACTTTAAATAAGTTCTATGTTGTATCAAATAAATCATATTAATGATATATTAATATTATTAACTAACCTTACATTATGTAATAAAGCATGAATAATATTAATAAATAGCATTTTTTAACACCATGTTCCTTAAGCATAAGCAATCATGGCCCTCCATAGATTCTTTTCTTTTATTATCTGAATAAGATTTGAATTTTCATGAAAACTTGGGAAGAATAGTGGAGTGGTTTCCCATTGTCATCTCCATGTTTTTGAATACTGAGTTATCCTCTCAAGATGTAGACAATCAGAGCTCTCCACAGATTCCTTTTCTTTATTATTTTCAACTGCTATGCATTTTTGGAAAAGATAGTGAGCTGGTTTCCTTCTCTACAGTTTTGAATTTGGTGTTGTCCTTCTCCTAGACTGACTGCCACCAATGGATGAGAGAGCTAAGTCTGCCCTGCTATTTAACCTATAGCTGGGGGGAGAATAAATGGATTTATGTCTTTCCAAACAGAAGTGAATGCAGCTAGGCTGGAATTTGAACAGCTCACCAGTAATGCAATTAACGTTATATTCTGATAAAACATTAAAATATATTGAAAATTATGATTTTGCTTTGCAAAAATTGGATAGCCTGAAATGATTAAATAATTGTTTTCCTCCAAACTATTTGGGCAAAATTAAGGTCTATTTTTTTTTTTTTTTTACTAATGTTTACTCTATACAAGGCCCAGAGACCACTCAAGGTGTGTGTGTGTGTGGGGGGGGGGGTTACTGAAGGCAGTTTTTGTGTAAATAGTAACAGTAAGGGCTGCAGTTTATGCAGATATGTAAATTATAACAGTTAATCCTAGACTTGAAGAGGTTATGATTGTAGTGGTCAGGAATACAGACTTCTGGGATTCTGTTCCAAAAAGCAGCAGTTCTGTTTAAGAAACCTTTTTGAAAAGGTTGATTATTATTGGACGATAATGGGTATGTCCCCATTCACATAACTGCAGTAGTAAATACTGTATGTTGGTCTGCAGTTGGAGATTCATTGTGGAATTTACTTGACTCACTTCTAGCAGTTGACTACTTCTATGCACCACTGGCCAATCTTATATGTGTTGCTCTTGTCCTAAGTATTATTCTTTATTACCAACCTTCATATGAGATTCTATTCAGTAACCTTCCCTATGTTACAACAATTATAATTTAGTCTGAAAACAAACTTGAATTTATTATGTGATATTTTCAACTCTACCCATTTGGGGGTGTGGGGTAAAGGAATCTAAAATAATTTTTTTGATCAGCTTATTTTCCAGTTTTCTTCAGGTAAAATTTTGCCAAGTTTCAAATCTTGTTGGTTTTGGGGACTTGTGAGATGTAAGATGGTTAATGAGCTTTTCTGTAACTTTCAATATTGCACACTTAACAAAGCAATAACTGCTTTGCACTAAGGGAAAAATATATCACCTGAAAAAGCTTGGCAATGAATTGTCTGAAATAGACTTAGAGAAAAAATATTGATGACTAAGATCTAAGATGTAGCAAAGAATTAAAGCTAATATATATTATTCAAAATTTGAATTCTGACAAGTTAACTTCAGTAGAAGTTATGTCTATATAAACATATAAGTATTTAATAATCTCAACTTCATTTTACACAAATGCAAAGTCACAAACATAGGGCATCTAACTTATTATGATAGCAATAAGATGTTAGACTAACTTCCTATTCACTACTCCACAAATAAATATCCAAATATCTGCTAAGCTTATCTGTTATAAAATAAGGTAAAGGTGTGTTGAGGGTGAGGGAAACACTTAACAAATTGTTCTCTTAACAATGAACAGGCAGAGAAAGGAAAGAAACAGGAAGAAACAAAATAAAACTGATTAATGACTGCATCAGAAACCACAGCATGGTGGGTGGAACAAAATATGCCAAATGAAGATCTTTACAAGACATGGAATCTCTGAGAATAGCAAAGTGAGTTTCACCAACTGCTAACAGTTGACAGACCCAGATCTGGAAAAAATTATATTTGGACATGCCAAGCTGATCTGCTGCTAACAGGGAATACTAGCTTCGATAGACATATGTGTATGTAACCCGGGGCCTCTTGTGTCTGTACTGATATGCGTTCACCACATTATCTTAGATTGGCAAAAGGTTACAAGTATGCAGCATCCAGTCAGGATGGAGCTCCTCTAGAGTATTAATGCAAGATTAACTTGCTATTCACTAAGCTATAATGAGGTACCTATTTTTGTTATGTTTCACTAGTGAATTTCAGTTTGTATGAAGAGAAATCATCTGGTGGAAATGTTAGGGGATAAAAATGACTGTCATGTATAATGGTTTGCTTATTGTTAACACTGTTTTATGAAGTTTATAGATTAGAAAGCTTCCTATTTGTCAAGCATATTTCATGACAGACTTTGTTGAAAATATCAAATCTAATTTGGAAATGCAACTGCCTTCAAGTATATCCATCTAATTATCATATTGTACTTAAAACTACAATAAAATGAAAAATTAAATGAGCTGTATTTATTTTCCTGCTAACACTTATAATAATTAAAATTTACATATCAGATTTATCTCCCTTGTGTTTCACTTTCTGAAATATTTCAGCATGAGACAAAACATAGCACCATTTTTAGTTTTAACAAATTAAACATTTACATGTACAGAAAAAAAAAAATAAATGAAGTATTTCTTTTAAGGATTTGTAATCCGCCATAAGAGGATTAAAACAGTGTAACTGGCTTCACTGGAGACCATTTTTGACATCTTGCTAACAGATCTGAAATTGTCCAGATTTTGTGAACTATACTGAGTAGTAGTTTCATCTCGGTTGTTTCAAATCAAAACAACAAAGATAAAGATACTAAGCTGTCCAACCTTCTGGAATATATTGAATTTAGTAATCTTAAAGAGTTGATCAGAAAATCTTTTGCTATTACAAAAAGAAAAATCCACAAATCTGAACAACAAAGATTTGTGCTGCACATGTGATTTTTCCACCATTAATAATTTTAAAAAAAATGACAATACTCTTCCCATTGTAATTTTAAGCAACATTTGGATTTTTTCCTATTTCACACTTTTATGATCAGTCAATATTACAATTATGACTAAAGCAATATATGTTGGTAATTACTATTATTTTTATCCAATTTCTGCTTGTGAATGGGTTTCTTACTGTAATACAGCAAAAATAGCACATAATAGTGCAGTTTTTGTTAGCACAATACTAATAAAATTCTCTAAATTTGAGAATAAAGCTGTTGGTTCCAATCCACAGTAAAAATGGCTACAAAACACTTTCCCCCCTCTCCAATTTATAGACAGAAGCCCACAAATGTATGCAGGGATTACTTCCTAGCCAATAAAATAGGTTAGTTCTCAATTTCATATAACTCAGTCCCAGTCTGTCTTGAAGTCAGAATTCTACCTTTATTTATCCAAATTTGCTCTTGTGTGTCAACTACAATTCTTAGTTTGTGAACTTTTTACCATATTACTGTTTCTTTATTACCATTAATTTGCCTTACATATGTTGTTTGCTTGCTTAATATTATATTTTACCCTGTTCTTTTTCTTGTTTATTGCAAATATTATCAATTCTCTTTGTTGGGCAGTTCTGTAAATTTATTTAGATTAACCATGGCCACTCACTCTACAAAAACAATTTCCTGTCCACTGTTTTCTGAATATTTTTTTAATTAAATATAAACTTAAAAAAACAAAAACAAAAGTCTAATGAAGGGAGAAGACTGCAGACATATTAACTGCTAATTACAGTCAGTTTTCTTGACCTGTCTGCACCTTCATCTATAGTGGCATACTAGCAATGATCCTTTGATAATAGCATTTACTTGTAAATAATGAAGCTTAGTGATAATTAAGATTTTCAAAAACTATAATATATATTCAATAAATAAGAAGTAACTTGACACTAAGCAGAATTCATTAACATGAGTTAATTAACAGAAGGAATTGACAGTTACAAAAAAATACCAAAAATAAATATGACTGACATATAATATTAGAAATACATCAATAAATGACAAGAATGCTGTATTAATTTTTTTTTTCAAATTTGAAATGTTAAAACAAACAATTGAACCAATCAAAGATGTTATTCAGAGTACATTTTTGTAAGCCTATGTATCAAATTATTGTTTACTTTTAAACAATCATATCAAATAAAGTTACCATTCTGTATAGGTACAGATGATAATTTTATATGATAATAGTGTAAAATAAATGTTAGTATTTTAGTAACTCCACACAATAAATGGGTATTGCATCTTGTTTATTTATTCATTGTCTTTATTTTCATACTATATTATCCTCAATACTAAAAATGACTACAAATGTGGACAGTAAGTCCAAACAAATATTTAGAAATATAAGTTATTCAGTGCTTTGCAGGAAGTGGGGGGAAGCAGGGTCAGAGGTCAGAAAAAGATTGATATTTATTCATAGCATAAGTTTGTTAAATACACTTACACAAGGGCTATATTGATAAACAATTTTTCTTTTAGTGCTCTAAAGCAAACATTAATTGTGTATCAATAAACTCCTTTATAAAATATAATTTTTTTAGTTATACCTTACAAAAGAAATTTTTGTACAAAAGAAATGGAATACTTTTTGATAATTTTCACAGGGATTTGAGCATACCTTAGGATTTGAGAGTGCACATAAGGTTTGTTCAAAAGTATAGATTTTGAATTAGAGAAACTGAGTAATATTAATCTGAGTTTTCCTTGGAGGCACATGGCTAACATTAGGCATGTCCCTGCTGAATATCAAAACCACTACTTTTATAAGTCACTAAATATACAAACATTTTTTTTAACAAGCATAAAAATAGTATATGTAAAACAAGAAGAGATATAGTGAACAATAGGGTATTATACAATTATATATATTTAATTACATCTTGAAAAGTTTTTTTTTTTTTTTTTAAGATTAGTAATACATAGTATCTTGAAAAAAATACTTATGCACATACAGACACATGCACGCATATGTATGACAGGATAATGAACAAATAGGAAACGTTTATAAATTTAACATGTTTTGCTTTTATTTAAGCTTCATTAGGAACTTTTTGGAAATGAATTATGGAAGAGAAAATTTTGGTACTTTTAGTTCTAGGTTCGTTTTTCATTGGCCAGATAGCACCACAAGGCAAAGACACATGTGATCTAACATGTGTACCAGAAATTTCTCTTCCATAATTCATTTAAAAAAAATTTCTGATGAAGCTTAAATAAAAGCAAAATGTTAAATTTATAAAAGTTTCCTATTTGTTCCTTATCTGATCCTTCTGTTGGATTCTAATCCATATCTGATCCAATTCATATATCTGTATACACTCGCATTTTATAATTAAAACTAAGACAAATATTTGAAAACATGAAAACAATAATTAAAGAAAAACCTATTAAAATGATCATGAAGGGTTGGATGTCATTTTAGAAAGCATCTTGATGGCAAGGCAGTTAGTCAAAGCAAGTTGGTTATTTAAGTGTAGAAGCAGCAGTCAAGTGAATGCTTTTCAGGTGAAGAAAGGAATGAAGAGTTGTTAGAGATGAGGGTAATTTCAGCTGGGGTGGCAGGTAATTGAAGACTAGCATGCAGCTAGTTAGTACCTTCTTGTAAAGTTTCGACTGGTTTCAGCTTCTCCTCTTGATCAGCCAAGCTATCCAGTTGTTCAGCTAGTGCGACAAAAGCCTCTTTCTTGCGATCAGTCATCTCCTTTTGTTGAGCAGTATCTTTAGGGGATACTGTCTCAGGACGTCTTGAATCAACGATTTTTGTCACTGTCTCTTCTTCATGACTTGATGTTGGCTCTGAAGGCACTGTAGTAAGGACATGGTAATCAAAATATTTCTTCTTTTCTTGTTCCTTCTTTACCAAAGTTTTTAAACATATTCAGGATGGCAAGGTTCTTTGTAAAAGCTAAGCATATCATTTTTATTTTTTTAAGGCAGATAAAAAAAAAACTGAGCTAATAATGATACTAAAGAGTGTTTATCAATAAATATTATCAATGAATATAATGAAAATCTCTTATATTGTGAAATGTTAAATGATGTCTCAAACAAAAAATATTTTGAAAAAAAAAAAAAAAAAAAAAAAAAATGAAAACATATTTTTTAAAGGTTAATTAAAGACAGCCAGGAAGTGATTGTTTTCATCGTCTAAGCAACAATTTTTTTTATGATAAAAAAACAAAAATACAAAAAAAGACTGACAATTCTAGTTTAGTTTCATAATTAAATGGAAAATATTTCCCTTCAACATATGAGACTGCCATTATTATTATTATTTTTTTTTAGCAGAATTCATGGGAAAGTAACACTCACAGTTGCATATGATATAATCCATGTACATACTTAATGCCAGTTGAAGAAAAAGTTTATACACATAAAATAATAGAATTCTAATGTGAAAAAAAACAAAAACCTCTTTATCAATTGGAATAAATAATGGCTCAATATCTTTACCAAACCATAGAATTCTAATCTATTATTAAAAAAGGCTAAACATTGTCAAAAACCTAGATTATCATAACTTAGAGCTCTATAAAACTCCTTTTATCAAGAAAAATAAATGTATGATCTAGGATATATATATATATATATCTCCATACACGCACACACACACATATATATATATGTGTACAGACACACACAAAATATAAATATATAATTAATGGATTTTATTTTCTTAATTTCACATATTTTTTTTTCTTCAAAATTTATTTTAGTAGATATCCACATTTGAGTAGACTCTCCGTTTATCTAAAACAGTATTTATTTCACTTACCAGCATGCATACTTGAGAAAATTGTACCCTTTAAGTTTTCTTGAGTATACAGGCTGGTAGGCGAAATATATACTGTTCAAAATAAACAAAGTCTACTCAAATATGGGCATCCACTAAAAATAACGCTTGAAGTAATAAAAATACATACATGCATATATATGATAAGATAAAGAACAAATAGAAAACGTTTATCAATCTACTGTTTTATTTTTATTAAAGCTTCATCAGAGAATGAGGTGTGGAGAAAAAGAAGAAATTCTTGTATTTTTATGTTTGATTTTCATTGGTTAATCAGGTTTCATGTGCATTCAACTTGTTGGATAAACATTAGTATAATTTAAGACATTCCAAATTCAAGGAGAGACAAGTTTCAAGAAATTAATGAATTCCATGCCTAATTGAAAAACAGTAAATATTGCTTTACGCATGTAAGTATATAATAATTCTAGTCTGTCTATGTTAGATTCAGATGATAATGTATATTCATTAGTGTGTGTGTGTGTGTATCTGGTGGACTCTCCTATCATATTCAATGTATGAGAGTCAAGTAGCTCAGTTCCTAGGGACCAACAGCCAGACACCAGCAGATATGATTTGATTATACACGTTTTGAAGGACCGAATACAACCCTCTGCAGATTTTGAATTGTCCTTCTCCTAGACTAGTTGCCATCCAAGGCTATAGTCTGTTTTGCTATTTACCCATAGCTGGAGGGAGAAGAAGAAGATTAATACCTTTCCCCAGGGTATTAGCACATAAGTGAATGTAATGGATTCAACTGAAATTCGAACTTGGATTGAGGAATCGGTGTGTATCTAGTAGACATTATATTTGGTGGTTTTTCAGATGTTGATTTGGGAATGTTTTTATATACATAACATTTGTTTTAGATAAACATAGGTTAGATTCTTTAAGAATGGATTCAATAAAGGTTAATGATGTAATGCTTTTGACATATGATTATAGTTGGTAATATAGTTTTTAGTAATCCCTTGAAGTACTTTTGATGTAAAGAATTATATTCTTTTTTGAATTAGGGTTGCATTTGTAAAATCAAAGTTATAGCCAGTTTTGTTCCTGTGTATTATGAATGGGTTTAAATGGTTGTTTAAACATAAATCTCTTTTATGTTTGTAGATACAGGCTTTTAGATTTCCAGATGTCTCTTTGATATAAGTGCTTTTACATTGTAAGCAATTTATACGATAAGAACTGGCATTTCAATTGGTGTTGGATTTGTTTTTCTTCCTAATTATATCTCTGATTGTCTTGAATGAGTGAGTAAAACTAGCAGAATCTCTTTCTTCTTTTTCTCCATATCTCATTCTCTGATGAAGTTTTAATTAAAAAAAATAAAAAAAATGAAACATGTTAGATTGATAAACATTTCCTATTTGTTCTTTATTTTATTCTGTTGGATTCCAAACTATATTTGATCCCAGCTCATATATAACTACTATAGGTGTCCATGATCAGAACTAACTAATCTTCTGATCATGAGACAGGTTCAAATCTCACCATGGCCGATTTGTCAAGGAGATAATTTCTTGAAAATATCTCTTTGGAGAGATGATCCCTGTATGCGATACTGTTGAAAAGTACCGGAAAATTATATCACAGGTTGACCCAAACCTTGAGAGTGAACTTGGGCAAACAACATTGTTCAGAAGGACTAATGCTTTTGCTTGCATGAAGTCATTGTGACCAAGTGTTTCAGAGTACTAGCATTGTCAACTATTGATCATGCCCAATTATGCATTCTCTCTCATAAAACTTTAAGGTCTGTTCAGCATATTTGCAGTATAAACCACAGGTGGACTCTGTAGGTTTTTTGAAGTAACAAAAATGTGTCTGAGCAGGCGTCTGCAACAGGGATTAGCTAGCCACCCTAACAGATGGGCATACTCAGAAACAAGCAGCCAGTTATAACATTTACATAAACTACTAGGAAAATTGAATAGCAATAAGTGAGCAGTACTAAAAAATAATAGCTAGACGAGATATCCCTAGACATGGTCAGTGGAATGAGAACAGTCTACCCATGTAGATTAAATAAAGGGTTCATTTTTGGAATTCTCTGTAGGTTACCCGAATCAACATACACCTGATGAAGGCCAGAGAGCACAACGGCCGAAATGTTGTGATAACAACAACAAAGATGAGGACAATAGTCCACTTGTAAATAATGAAAAAAGGAATAATTGCATATTTCAAGAATCTTTTTTTTTTTTTTTAAACCTCACAACTAAACTGGATTAAAAAAAATTAACATTTTATAGAACATTGCATGCAGGTATTTAAAAGCATGATTATGTGCTAATTCAAAATTATTTTTTATAACATGAAAAAAAAAAAAAAAATTATAAAATATCCATTTCAAAGAATATATTTTTTTTTTTTTTTTTTTTTTTTATAAACTTATAAAAGGAACAATAACTGAGGAATTCCAAAAATCACATAATGTTTTACTTTTTAAAACAATTAAAATGGCATGCTAGATATGGAAATTGAAACTAAAATAAACGGTAAGGAACAAGAATTAGTTACCTTTGGCTAATCGGTGTTTTTCTGTGTCAGCATCGCTGCCTGATTCTTCTGCAGATTCAGATTCCTGAAACAAGAATATTTGCCAAAGTTGAAATTATATATAAAATGCACATATAAATAAAACTGAAAATTATGCAAATAATAAAATTAAAAATTATGCAAATAATACCATGCATCCTACACACTAGTATTATGATTAGTATATGTATTATGATATAAACTAGTATTATGATTAGTAGCTTGTAGACTGAATAGATAGTTCTGAATTTTAAATAAGCTCAAGTGGACATTCTTCCAAACACTTTTGTAAATTATGTGTCACCGATAAATATAAGAATAGATTTAAATTTACATATTTATTTAGTCTATATCATGGTTTTATTTTTTATTTGTATAAATAAAAAAAAGATTAAATTTCATGATCAAACAAGACATTTTTAAAATAAAAACAATGTATATTGTCAGTGATAAAAAATTAAGTAAATTTAATCAAAGACAAACTGATGACTTAATAACTTTACAATGTGAGTGGTATTTTGAATGTATTACAACAACTGTAAGATAGAAGAGTTATTTTTCACAAAAGACAACAAACATTGACAAAAATGTTTTAGAAAGACAATAACCAAAAAAATCCAACTACATAAAAAATAATTAGAAGAATTGGTCAGGGAGAATATTAATATTAAACATAGAAAATAAAAAAAACAATAATTCTAAAATCAAACACTGCAGATTAAAATTTAAAAAAAAAAAAAACGCAACAAAAATGCAAAATTTTTTTTGGATCTAAAGCAAAAAGCACAATAAAACAATATTGCAAAGAAAATTGCCCCACCCACCCAAGCTATAATCAAGCCTAGAGCTCACGTTCATTGAACCAAACAGGTAAACAGATGAATAACCATGTATTTTTTTTTCTCTTTTAGCAATTTATTCATGTTGTTAAAGTTAGTCAATGTTTAATAACACCTAGGGGTCAAATCAAGAACTTTCAGAATTTCTTAGATTTATTGCCACTGATCCACAACAATACTCACCGGTATTTTACTAGGGGCTAAACACATAGATTCTGGTGATCTCTTCATCTGTAATATAGAAGACAATGTGACAGGTGGGATAATCTCATAATCCTGAATTAAAGTGAGACACTGACCATGTCAATAATGCTGGGTTGAGGGGGAATGAAAGCAGACTTTACTGTCACAGTGAAAGATGAGCATTGGTGTGGATATTTAGTGCACATAAACTAAAAAGCAGAGATAACGCTAACACCCACCCTTTGCAGACCCCCACCCCAAGTCCTACTTTCTAGCTCTGAAATATTTGTGCATACTGCTGAGCAATTTGAAGAATAGAAGAACGTGCTTGATGTAAATTTAATATACCCAAACCCCAAATTTTTGTGCACAAAGGGAATGTCTGAACAAACTAAGAAGCGTTTTGGTGCCAGGGTTTAGGAGTTACATTCTGCTATCACAGAGGAATAATTTGAAAGAATTTCCAGACAAAGATGCAGTGCTAACCTTGGTAAGATATTTATCCTCAAGAAAGAGAGAAAGAGATAAAAGAGAAAGCAATATACAATGCAATAGTAAGAGTAAACGAGCAAAAAGCTATAAAATAAATAATTTAAAACTGGAATCAAAAACATCTAATACATTGGTTCCTAACCTAGGTGGGTGCTTAAAATAAATTTACACAGCACAGAGAATTGGAAGTGATTCTTTATCTCTTTATAGTGTTATAAAAATTACTTCGTTCAGACCAGTGGTTCCTAAATGGTGCAGTGTGCCTCATAGATGCGGCTGAAGAGGATAGCAGGTGAGACAGAATGATTGAAAGATAATCAAAGATTTAAAAACAGTTTCAAAAAAATTCTTATGCTAAAAATAAATGGGATTTCAAAATTTAAAATATTATTATGGATTACTTGTAATTGCATGGATGAGTTCCCGTATAATTAGTTATAAATAATTATTGACTGATTTTATCATTGTGATATTTTTGCATCGTATCAAGTATTAAGAATATAGAAGAGTTATCAATGATAATGACCCGACTTCGAATTCACGGTTATCTCCCTTTTAACACTGTTTTTTTTTTGTTTTTTTTATTTTCAAATGCATTTTTTTTATCACATAAAATTTGGTGAGGCACAAGCAAATTTTCATTCCGAAAATGTGGCCCCAGAGAAAAAAGTTTGGGAACCATTGGTTTAAACCGACTCATTAATCATCATTCTGGCAGGTTTGTTTTAATATTAGAATATATTCATTATTTTGATAAAAAAATCAGAAAATAAAAGAAAATGTGCTTATTTTTTCATTTTCATTTTAAACAAATTCTTTGGAGTTGATTTAAAAATAGACCCCCCAAAAAAAAACAAAAACTAAGAGTTCATTTAAAAGAGGTTAGGAACCAGTGTGATGTTAAATTGAACATAAAGAATCTCAAATATTTCAATATGAGATCAGATAAGCATTGCAGCATTGTAACTGCATTAATGAAGTGCATTAACTGCATTAAAAGTTTGAAAATGTGATAAATTTAAATGTGATAAATTTAAAGCTTTTCTACAAGAAAATTATTAAATAATCTACTCAAAATTATAGCCAGATTTTTTTTTGCTTTAAAATTATATTACATGCCAAATATAAATACCTTGATCATGTCTTGTTCATCATAAGAAACATCCAGTGAGAGGCCTCGTTTCATTGAAGAGTCTCGAGAAATACCAACTTCTTCCTTGAAGGTATCAAAGCCTAGGGAAAAAAAAAAAAAAAAAAAAAATGATCAGCAATATCAACTTGAAATGTATACAAGAGCTTATCACTAAAAACAAATAAATTATTTCAAATATCTAATACAGTATACAAGACTATATCTATCTGATTGCCCTCAAATCAGAATACAACTACATGACCAATTATTTCAACTATTTCTGTCATCTGTAGCTCTAGTCTGTTCTTTTCTGATTCTGGGTTCAAGCAAAGCAATAAAGCCACTAAGATGCAAGGGGGTTACTGTGTGCGAAAGAATGAGAAAAAACACATTAGTAAAGAGAAAATAATAAAAGAACAGGAATTAAAAAGACAAAAGATAACGGTTTACATTGCATTTAAAGTTTTGAAGATAAGAGTTGACTGGTAAGCAAGAGTCTCACAAGCGAGAAGTGTGAGAGAAGAAACTGTTAGCATATAATCTATAAATTGATCAATGAAGGTTCTTGCTGGTCTACCTTTTGATCTTTTGCCACAATTTATAAAGATGATGCATCATATCTTCACTATTTATATTATTCGGACTATTGTCCTCATCTTTGTCGCCATATTTATCACAACGTTTCGGCCGTTGTACGCTCCTGCCTTCTTCAGGTGGTTGTGATAAATATGGCAACAAAGATGAGGACAATAGTCCGAATAATGTAAATAATGTACATAATATCTCATCTCAGAAACATAGACAGATACTGAAAGGCCGAAACGTTGTAATAAATATGGCGACAAAGATGAGGACAATAATCCGAATAATGTAAATAGTGTACATAATACCTCATCTCAGAAATATAGACAGATGCATCATATCTTGTTTACTTTTCTAGCAATGACCACTAAACTGCACTTGCCTTTCATAAATTGTTTCCATAACCTGTGTTAGGTTCCCATATAGTTCTTCATCAGATATGTATTGCTTCCAGCTGACATTTAGTGCTGTTCTCAAGTGTACATACTATTTAGTTTATTTGCCAGTGATTTTGTTAATGTCCAGCTTGATGTCTACAAGATGACCATTTCTACTTTTGGCCTAAAGAGTTGCACTTTCATACATTTTTCATTTTTTAATTCCAAATAGTGTTCATATTTAATAGTGCTGTCCATATCCTTACAATTCTAACATCTATATATTTATGTTGTTGTATAACCCCCTGGTGCTGGGAGGAGGGGGGTCTTGGTCATCGTACCAATTTGATAATGATGTTGTATCTTCTTTCTCTTGTCTTCTCCTGGCCAGGTGGTGAAATATATTTTTTCTTTATTTTTTTTTCTGTCCCTATGTCTCGACTACATTTTTCTTTTTTTCCTCTTTGTTGAGTCCTAGTCACTGCGCCAATTATGTCTAATGCTGCATAGCCCCCGCGTTCTGGGGAGGTCTTGGTTGACAGCATCAATTCACTCGTACATTGTATTTTCTCTTTCTCGTCTTCTCCCAGATGGTGATTGCTAGTTGTTTTGAGTCCAGAGATAAAAGAACTTCAAAACGGAATTTTAAACTTAACTATTTTATTAACGTTGATGTATACATCTTCTCTTTATCCAGTAGGGTCATTCTCCCCAACTGGGGATCCATTTCAGACATGAAAGAAAACATGTCTACACTGTTTAACAGTTAAAACTTGATTCACTGAAAACGCTTTCTCACTATTGTTCCCATGCTGGCTCAGTGAAACAAAATCAACTTCCTTGTTTTGTCTTCCATCTGCCCGCAAAGTTCAACCTCAGAAATTTGGAGTAGCGATACCCTTCCCCCTAAAAATAATAATCTGCTAAACTATTATTTAACAATGTGAGGAATTCAACTATGATTTCAGATATAAAAGAAAAAAAATTGTTCAGGTAATTTAGCTTATCACCTTTGAATAGAGCAGAGTGCATTAATGATATTACTTCCCTTTCCACTCCATTCTTTTTCAATGCATCTCAATTCCAGTAACCTTGTTAATTTCACTCAAAGGTGTTTTCTGTTGCCATAGAAGGATATGACAATACAACTATGAAATTTAAATGAACTACTTCAATGGCAGGATAAACTTTTTATACAGCAAATGAAGTCACATACACGGGGATAAAGATTAAAAGATATGAATTCTTGTTTTAATTTTAATTTATACTGAGCCCAACTTATACTGCAGCAAATTCTAATTTGAGAAGAAATAGCTCTGCTACACAACACTATAAACAAAACTGTACGAATATTATTACAAGTAATTAAATTAATTAAAAACTAATGAATAAACCTGTATTATCAAACCACTGATATAGAGGTTAGTAATGACACATTTTGACCAAGTACCATCTGGTCATCATCAGGTGTCCATTGATTGGCTGGTATAGGATACCTGTCCATTGATTGGCTGGTATAGGATATCAGTCCATTGATTGGCTGGTATAAGATATCTGTTGATTATTGTAATCATAATAATCCACCAGGATGAGAACAAAAGTTTGCAATACAAGTTTGACAATTACTCATCTTTGAAATGAAATATTAAATTATAAAAAGCAGTATGAACTGCCATTGTAACCAAATGTCAAAAACTGTCTGATATTGAATATCAAAGGCTTGAAAAAACACACAACTAATATCCTTCAGGATGGTGGCATAGTGTATAGTTGATTATATATGTGTTACTTTCATCTAGTGGTCATAAGATCAATCCTTGGATCTGGTTATGAAGAACTGATTTAGCAAGAATGAACAATAACTGATAGAACAATGACAAAATATAATAATAATCAACAGATATCCAATATCAGCCAATTAATGGACACCTGATGATGACCAGAGGGTACTTGGCTGAAACGTTGTGTCTATAATGACATCTATAATAACCAAGATGAGAACAATAGTCAAAATAATACAAGTTTATTAACAATTACTTATCTCTGAAATGAAATACTAAATTAAAACTAATGAGCTATTTTTTTATATTCTCATATGGCCTGACAATTGCATATAAGCATGAAACTGATGGGTGCTGACTTCAATGTCCACTTTTATATTTACATGTTCTATCCCTGATATTGAGCACTTTAACCCATAAATATAGCAGCATACCTTAAAACTATATTTTATCATATTCTCATATATATATATATATATACATACAGAGAGAGAAAGAGAGAGAAGAGAGGGATATATAGAGAAAACTTATGATATTTTATGCATTTCTACACACACACATTTTTATATATATATATATATATATATATATATATATATATATATATATATATATATAAAAATGGCTGGCTACTTGTTTCTGAGCACACTTGTTGACTAGAGTGAAAATTCTTGTTGCAGACACCTGCTCAGGAACATTTGTGTTTTTTATTCAAAACCAACAGAGCTCACCTGTAGCTTATACTGCAACTATGCTGAGCAGACCTTAGTTACAGTTTCTGGGGGAGAGCACATTATCTGGCATGATCAACAATCTGAACAAGCCCAGTACGCTGAAACCCTTGGTCACGATGTCTGGTGACTTCATGCTAGCACAACCATCAATGACACAACTTCACAACTTTTTTTTTTTCTCGGTGTGTTTTGTGGATACACAATATTTGTTGTTACCATAGTGACTGATCAATTCTACAGCCTTCTTCCAGTATACAGTCCATAAAGAAAGAGGAAACTTTTTTCAGAAGTTGAAGACAAACAGAATAGGAACAATGTTTTATATAGTGACTGGCTTAAGATATTACCAGTAACAATGCAAACTAAAAAGTATTTAATTCAAGAAAGAATCTAAAAAATCTGTCCTTACCAGATTGATCCATTGCAACTCTGCCAGCTGCCATTTCCATCTCATCCTCAAAGGTCACAACATCATACATGCATTTCTTAGCAACATCTTCACGGCTTATTCTTATTAAGGCCTTTTCAAGTGCATTACCTGAAAGATAATTGGAAAGACTTAAGTAAAAATTAAGTTTAACACTTGCAAGAAAATTAAAAAGAAGTTGTAAAGCCATATTATAAGTCAATAAACATTCCACATGTTACTTTATGATGTTAACTGAACTTAGTATGACAGTATAGTGAGAAATTGAAAATCAGCATTCAACATCTTTTTATATTGACTCCAAAGCCAAACTGTAGTGGTTACTGGGTCTATAGGCATGTGTTGCATCAATAGTTTAAAAAAAGGAGGACCTACCTACCTTGAAAATCCTGCTTATTATTTATTTATTCTTTTAATGATGAGGGGCATAGATAATGGTAAGAGGTACCAGTAAGAAATAAGCATATATCTCAATCACCTGCAGGGTTGGCTCAAGGTACTGGCAACTCATCATGCCGCCATGCCATGTGTTTGGGATCTTCCAAAACTAAAGCTTATAAAAATATATTTGTGGTAATCCATGACTCAAGACAGATTAAATTCTTTGATTAATTTGTCAGTAGAAAATGATCTTGTAAAGAAGATAGGTGTAGAAAGCGTCATGAAAAGATTTGCAGATCTAAAGGATACAAAAATGTTTTAAGAAGGATAATAAATGTTTTCTTTAGCTTGTATTAAGTTCTATATTGTAATAAACTCATTATTCTACACTGTAAGCTAAAGGCAAGATACTAAATACTGCAGATCTAAAGGATACAAAAATGTTTTAAGAAGGATAATAAATGTTTTCTTTTAGCTTGTATTAAGTTCTATATTGTAATAAACTCATTATTCTACACTGTAAGCTAAAGGCAAGATACTAAATACTGCAGATCTAAAGGATACAAAATGTTTTAAGAAGGATAATAAATGTTTTCTTTAGCTTGTATTAAGTTCTATATTGTAATAAACTCATTATTCTACACTGTAAGCTAAAGGCAAGATACTAAATACTGCAGATCTAAAGGATACAAAAATGTTTTAAGAAGGATAATAAATGTTTTCTTTAGCTTGTATTAAGTTCTATATTGTAATAAACTCATTATTCTACACTGTAAGCTAAAGGCAAGATACTAAATACTGCAGATCTAAAGGATACAAAAATGTTTTAAGAAGGATAATAAATGTTTTCTTTAGCTTGTATTAAGTTCTATATTGTAATAAACTCATTATTCTACACTGTAAGCTAAAGGCAAGATACTAAATACTGCAGATCTAAAGGATACAAAAATGTTTTTAAGAAGGATAATAAATGTTTTCTTTAGCTTGTATTAAGTTCTATATTGTAATAAACTCATTATTCTACACTGTAAGCTAAAGGCAAGATACTAAATACTGCAGATCTAAAGGATACAAAAATGTTTTAAGAAGGATAATAAATGTTTTTTTTAGCTTGTATTAAGTTCTATATTGTAATAAACTCATTATTCTACACTGTAAGCTAAAGGCAAGATACTAAATACTGCAGATCTAAAGGATACAAAAATGTTTTAAGAAGGATAATAAATGTTTTCTTTAGCTTGTTTGTTCTTTGATGTTCACTTTGGCAACAATAATTCTTTTCTTTCCTCCTCTTCTTGTTCTCTTCTTGATATTATGTGCTCTTATCATTCATCTACATGTGACAATCCTAGGAACTAGAACAATTTTTTTTTATTTTTTTTTTATTTGCTTTTCCCTTCAGTTCTCCAACCACAGGTAGGATAATGAATGTTTTCTTTAGCTTGTATTAAGTTGTATATTGTAATAAACTTATTACTCTTCATTTCCAGATTTTCTCCTTGTGAAAGTTTTCAAAAATTCTACTTGTAAGTGTGCTGATGTTCATCTTGCCCAGAGTGCCAGCAACCCTAGGGTTGTCTCTGATCACAAGACAGGCCAAATTATTTTTACGAGTATCATTATCTTTGTTGTTTTTATGACCTTTCTGAAGTGTACATGAATTCAGTCACTCCTAATTTTCATTTTCTTAAAAGGAATAACATATTTCTCAGCATCAAATGTATCCCCTACCCCCGCCATCCAAAGTTGTGAAAATCTGCCCCAAGTGCTACAGGCCCAAGGTTACAGTTTTATTTTACTTTGTTTATTTCATATTTATTTATTTTTGTGTGTGTGTCTGTGGAGAATGTTGATGCTTTGAATTAATTTGGCCTAAGAAAGATAATTCATACAATGAATGACATAATTCACTGGTCAGTGTGTAGACATATTGATCCGTGAAAAGCATTGATCTTAATGAAAGGATGTGATATAATGAATACTACTAAATGCAACATACAATAAATCAAAGAAAGATGACTCTTCGGCGGCTACATGCACGATACACTGGAGAAAGACAAAAGAACAAATATGATACAAAACAACAACAAAGACGATTAAAATGTACAAAGAAATTTTACAAGAATTAAAATTGACAGAATACCTGATGCTTTGTCACCGTTCTTCTCCACCCAAAGATGTAGCATTGCCAAAGCCTGATCGTTTACTGTGTTGTATTCGGTTTTGATTTTATTAATTTCTGACATGGTAATGTCTAATTGTTGTGCCAACATCACCCAGTCACCTTGCAGTGTGTCTGCAACATCAGTAATCTTCATTTGGGCTCGGCTGATGGTATCTTGGAGAACTACAAGCAAAAAATTAACCAAAGTGGTAAAAAAAAATAAAATAAGGATGAAAAGGAATATGAGAAGGAGAAATAAAAAATGGTAGTAGGAGGAGCAATGGTAATAGTAGCAGTTTCCTTATAAGGAAACATTCAGTATTCATTGACCAAGCAAAAAGTACTATTGTCAGTTGGAAGTTTATTTTTCATCTTTCAACTAGAAATCTATTCATGCGAGTCATGGTATTAGATGTTTTTCCTTTCACTTTAACTGGGTTAGAATCTGTGAAAAAGTAGCAAATTAAAACAATCCAAGATTATCTTATTCTTGATGGTTCATGTTAAGACATTAGTTCCATTTCATCCTCAAGCGAATCAAATGGAACTAATGTCTTTAATTTAATTACAAAATTAAATTCAAAGCTTTTAGCTTCCATTTTTGAAACATGGTTAAAACTGTGTAGTGAAAAAAAACATATTTTAAATCAGTTAATTTATGATATTAATGCTCTGTAAATTTATATTGAGCACTATTTTGTAAAAATAAAAATATCTATGAGAACACCAGATTATATATCTTACTGTTCTTTCTTTTATATATATATATATATGTTTGAATAAGGAAAAAATTTAAAATTCTGAGATTTAAAATGTTCCACTATTTAACTTCAGAAATTTTTGGAAAGTGAATTCTGATAAAATTAAATAGATAAATATATGAAATTTAGAAAGATTTTCCCTTCTTGCTCTTTATTTAATCATTCTATCAGATTTAATCAATATTTTCAACTCACATATACATGATAGATAACTATTTTCTTAACTTACCAATTCCATGTTCCCTAAGAAGACTATGCCGCTTTCGAACTTCAAGGGCTTCTTCTGAAGTCATTTCCATGGAATCGGACTGAAAATAGGAGGAAAAAAAAATTTTTTTCAAGAAAACTAAATATAAACCAAAAGTACAAATTTTAAGAAATACAATGTTTGTCTGTAAATATGCAGCCATTTTGTATATCATGAGAACCAGTTGTGTGGCCTTGATGTAACTTCACAACCAATTAGTTTTGGAGGTTAGCAACTCTGCCCTGTAAAATCTTCTTGCTGCAGAAACCACAGTAGTCTCTCTTTGCATGGTTTTGTTGAGGTTTTGTGCTTCATCAAGAGTTCAGACATTATGAACATGATACTTACAAGCATGGATAGTCTGCAGTGTTTGGATAAATATATATTAACCTACAACATAATTCTGCTTTGGATATAAAACCTAAGAGAGACATTTTGAGAGAAAAAAAAGGATTGAGTATCATGTATGTATTTGATAACTGATAAGATGCCTTCAACTACTTACATGATATTTTTATTTTAATTGTTTAGATTTTCTTTAATTTTGAATTTTAATGTTTTTTTTTTTAATTAGGTAAGTTAATGTTCATATTAATATAATTTATTCTATATATCCTTCTCCTGTTAACTTCAAATTGTATAATGACACCACATTAAACTGCATGATGGCACTACATCTAAACTTCATTTTGGCAGTACATTTAAACTGCATGATGGCATTACATTTAAAACTGATTTATTTTTTCTCAACCTTATATTATCTCCATATAATGGTCAGCTACTCAGGGTTTTTTTAAAAATACACGTCTGCTATTTTAGCAAGCCGATACCTGCTCAGCTACATTTTACATAGACCTCCCCTGTGGTTTATATTGCAAGTTCGCTGAGTTGACCGTAGTTATAGTTTTTGAAAGAGAGTGCATAAATCGGCATGATCAACAGTTTGGACAAAAGCCGGTATACTAAATCCCATGGTCCTGATGACTTCCGACTTCTAGCACAATCATCAACAGCCTCAGAACATTCTTGTTTACCCAATGTCACTCACAAAACTCAGGATTTTCATGTACTTTCCAAAGATGGTGCTCACTAGGATTGCTGCACCAGGCCAATTACATCAAGAAGCCACCTCCTAAGAAATCAACCTATCATCCATATAAATATGTTTATCTAATCTTAAATCTGCTGTTGTGCCAAAAGTGTTTAATTCCATTATTAACTTAAGTATTTTATACATGGTGTAACCTAGGGAAGGTTACTGAATAATCACACAAAGGTTGGTAATGACTGATAATACTTAGGACAAGAACAACACATAAGATTTGCTAGCGGTGCGTAGAAGTAGTAGTCAACCTCTAGAAGTGAGTCATGTGAATTCCACAATGAATCTCCAACTGCAGACCAACATACAGTATTTACTGCTGTATTTATATGAATGGGGACATATCTATTATCATCCATAGGCATGCTACAATACATTACACTGAATAAATAATTTTTTTTAATAAAATTATTACATCAATTACAGGTCTCATATTTGGCAGCAGTCATAGAATTTCTATAATTCTGAAGAGTGAAATATGATTCTTGTGGCCGAGGAGAAATCCTGTAAAGCATTACATAGATATAAAATAAGAAGAAAACAGGGAGTAAATCAAAACAAGTTTACCTTTGATACATCAGGTAATACAATGTTGAGGTTGCAAATTGGGGACTGAGGAGCTTCTCCTCTGGCCACCTTCGGTTCTTTCATGAAAGCAACACGAGCAGCTGGTTCTTGGTCCAAGTCACGCACCTTCACGGTACATGGAAGGCGGTTTTCTCGGAATGCTCGGAAATGTACATATAGTTGATCACCAGATTTGGTAACAGGGATCAGGTTGCCAGCCATTTCCACATACTGTGGTCGGCCTTGTAAGACCTAAATAGATTTAAGACAAGGAAACATTCTCAATCAAGGAAATTATAACAAAATCAATGATATTATTTGAAAATATTAAACAGAAGTGTTGTTGCGTTAAAAATTTCATGCTCTATAATAGATCACCCTCTTTAATAATTCAATATTAGAGAGAGAAAAAGAGAAGAGAGAGAAAAAGAGAAGAGAGAGAAAAAGAGAAGAGAGAGAAAAAGAGAAGAGAGAGAAAAAGAGAAGAGAGAGAAAAAGAGAAGAGAAGAGAGAGAAAGAGAAGAGAGAGAAAGAGAAGAGAGAAGAGAAGAGAAGAGAGAGAAAGAGAAGAGAAGAGAGAGAAAGAGAAGAGAAGAGAGAAAGAGAAGAGAAGAGAGAGAGAGAAAAAAGAGAGAGAGAGAGGGAAAGAGAGAGAGAGAGAAATGTGTATGAGAGAGAGAGAGAAATGGGTGTGTGTGTGAGAGAGAGAGAGAGAGAGAGAGAGTCTTACTATTGAAATTTATATGCATGCTAAGTTTTAATAACACTTGAAAGATAATCAGAACAGATATCTAAATCCATTTGAAACCCGGAAAAATTAATTACATATATAAAGTTGGTTATGTGTGTGTGTGTGTGTGTGTGTGTGTGTGTGTGTGTACAAATATTGTGTAAAATTATGACATCAAATAAATGTTTCATCATGTTTATCAGCATATGTCTCATATCTTGCTCAACTTACTGAGTCTTATTTAATATTTAATAGCAATAACAAATTTGCATATTCAGCTTAAAAAACACTTTAAAAAAAACTGTGCCATTGTTTTCAATCTGATCTTTTTGTGACTGTTATAAAACTGTCGTTTTGTTGGTATCTTTTTTTTAATTAAATTGATTAGTTATTCAAATAAAGTTATTTTTTGCCTGAAAGTGGTAACCACCTTAGCATTTTGATCACAGCTTGGAAGTATAGAGAGAAGAAATGTTGGCATTTTTTAATATATATTTTGAAATTCTAACAAATATTATAAAATATAATATGATATGCTGTCATAATTAAAACAGTTCAACAGGTTGTTACTACTACCAAAACTTAACCTATTGAACGGCTTTAATTATGACAACTTTGCTAGCACCATATTATATCATATGCAAATCTCTGAAAGAAATGACTGCATAGCACAAATGACTTAGCCCTTGCAAAGCTGGATATCATTACTAGTATCTATACAAAATAGATAATAATTGTAAAGTATGAAGAAATATAACTGAAAGTTACAAATTTAAAAAGAACAAAATAGTTTAACAAACCAGAGATTTCATTCTGACTTAGACAACAAAATAAACTTGTTTACAAAGTGAAGGGAGAACAAGAAAGATAGGATAGTTTTTTATTTTTACCTCAACATCACGGCTTCGAGCAACTTCAATAAACTTTTCTTGCTTTTCTAAAGTTTTGTCCACTTTATCATCAGTCATACAGAACATTCGAAGCTTGCCCTCTTCTTGAGCGTGACGCTTTGCAAAGATGACAAACTTAGCCATGAATGGTACAACAACTGCCTCTTGATATAATTCAGTAGCCATTCTGCTTGCTTCGTTCACATTTTGACAATCCATCAGCCAGAATCTACAAAAGGAATATTCATAAGATGTTATCTTTCTCTGTGATTGGTTTTTTTTTTTTTTTTTTTTTTTTTATCAGTTCTGATTGGTTTGAAAATAGGATTAAAAATTAAATACAAAGATAAAAATACTTCCCGTCATGCTTTGTCAACAATTTAATTTAGACAATTGCCAAAAAGTAATTTTAAATTTAAAAAATGCATACCAGTTTTTGTCTGCTGGCCTGAGTATTCAAGAAATTTTACTAAAGAAAAACATGATCTCTCTAGAGAGGGCATTTTTTTTCTTAAATAAAATTTTCTTGAATATTCAGGCTGGTAGATGGAAATAAATACATATACTGTTTAATTAATAAATGGAGCATCTTCTCAAATATGGGTATTCATTAAAAGGAATATTAAAAGTAATAAAAAAATCCTTGATTGATAAATAAAAATCTGTTACTTTAGAAAATTACTATATATATATATATATATAGTAATTTTCTAAAGTAACAGATTTTTACCAAAATGTAGCTAATAACCGATACAATGATGCAGACATAAGGAAAACCTAGACACCCCTTGTCCAGTTGAAGTAGATTTACCTGTAACCATGGAAACGTGATTTTAGCTGTGTCTTAAAACCCAGTAATTTTAAAAAAGTTACTCCAAAATTCGCTTGAGGATGAAATGGAACTAATGTCTTTAATTTAATTGCAAAATTAAATTCGTGGCTTTTTTAGCTTCCATTTTGAAACATGGTTAGAACTGTGTAGTGGAAAAACCATATTTTAAATCAGTTAATTTATAATATATATATATATATATATATATATATATATATATATATATTCAGTTGCATGTATATTAGTTTGTAACACCGGTTCCACACATTTCTGATCATCAGACAACTGGTTTATTTTTTATATATATATATATATATATATATATATATATAAAAGAAATATGTTGTAAGCAGTTCCAACGAGAGAAAAGTATGTATATTAAAAAGAAGTTAATGTGGTGCATAAGTTATTTTTGTTTTGTAATAATTATTTAAAACAAAAAATAATATTTTTGTTTTACATACATTACAACAAAAAACGTTTATGCACCTCTCTTCTTTTTAATATATATAATATGTGTGTGTGTGTGTGTGTGTCTGTATGTATATACACACACATGTATGTGTGTGCATATATGTGAAAAATATATAGAAAATAGGAAAGAACAAAATAATTTTTAAATTCCATAGTCCTAATAAATAGTTTAAATGCCCTACAAAAAAAGATAACTCTTTATGAAGTCGTCAAAAAACAAATGTTAGCGATTTACGACAGTTTTTATATACACAAAACTCTTTCAGAAAAAAATCAAAAAATCTCCATAGACACTTAACCAGACTGGACGATGTCATCTTCTGCTTTAAATTTAGACAGCCCCTAACCTTACCCTGACTTGACATCTGTGAATGGAACTGAGACATTGATACAAATTATTAACATCTTACACCCCTTTGCTTTAAACAATTGCTCTAGCCGTTACCATAGAAATTTTGATTTCAATAATGAATATACTTATAAAACGTGTAAATTTCAGAAATAAGTTATTCCAAAAAAATTTCACTTGAAGATGGAACAGAGCTTAGTACTTTAATTTAATTAAAATAATTATATTGAAGTTTTCGGCTCTTGCTGCGTGTTGGAATCATATTTTTAAATAAATAATTATATATCTATTATTTGTGTGCATGTGAATATATAAATTTTAACATAATATATTTGTATGTACCTGTTTATTTGTATATAGGTATGGATTTATATTCTAGTATGTGTATATGTAGATTATATTGAAAATATATATAAGATATGTATAACACTCATTTAAATATAATTGTATTTAAATAATAATTAATGGATATATTGAAGAGCATATTTTTTTTTAAATTTTATATTTAAAAAAAAAAAAAAAAAAAAAAAAAAAAAGGAAAGAAGAATACCTCTCAGGAAAAGTTATTTTTTTTTATATATTTTAAATAAACAAAATGCTATCCGTTGAAAATGATTAGACTAACCTGGCTGAAACAGTAGTTGTGAATGAAACACAGTCATTGACAAAAGTAAGTTGGGTGCTTGCTGTTATATCTTCCCAAACAGCTGGTGTCGTTCCTCCTGAAAGAAAAAGTTAATTGAAAATCAGCGCTTGACAAAAATAAATTTACAAATGATAATCCTCAAAATAGACATACAGCATATCAGATTTTTATTAACACAAAAGGATGTTTTGAAAAGTACATTTTCAGCATTAATGATGAAATGATATGATTGAACATCCTCACAAACTAAGGCACGTTATCAAATATCTATTATGGGCTACTAGGAAGAAAAAGAAAATCATAAATTTTGTAAAATATTTGTAATATCTAAAAAGAGTCATTTTTCTTTTTTAATTGTCTAATATAATTAAAGAAGAAAGTTCTGTAATATTTGCTAAAAGAGAAAAGTACTTAATTCTAGTTTTCAGGCTAAGTTCAAATTCCATCACATACACAAAAAACAAAACTCTGCCGATGTATGGCAGCTCCTCTACTAATTGCCTTACAGTTGACCGATGATCAAATCTGCTACTTAGATTCACTTTTATTTATTCTAATTAAACTCACTTCTCTTTTTTTACCATGGTACTTTCTTTGTCTTAATATAGTCTAACATTAGTAGTAGTAATATTATTTTTATTGAATGAAGCATTATCAGTCAGTTATGTGCCATGAATGATACACGCTTAGGCGGTCATGTGTCTTTCAATACATGACTGATGAGGCAGATTTTTTCCCACAGTAGGTTGCTATTTATTTCTGTGGTAAACAATTTACCATCCAAGGCTACAGAACCTGGTCTGTCCTGCTATTTACCCATAACTGGAGGGAGAAGAAGAGGATTCATACCTTTCCCAAGGGTATTAGCATGTAAATGAACATAATGGATTTGACTGAAATTCAAACACGGCTCTCAGATTCCTCAATCCGAGCCACTATCCATTACTCCACCGTGCCTCCCGTAGGGGAAGCATTATACAAGTCATAAATTAACAATGCTACATTTAAAAGAAATAAAATTAAGATAAGCTAAGTTATATAATTTGATAAATTACCAGAATATAATGGCAACATTAAAATGCATATAAAAATTATTAGATCATTCTTCTGTGGAGCATTGGTTAGCAAGCTGACTTAGTAAAACTATGTTTACTGTAGTAAGTTCGATTCTCACTATGCACTTAACACTAGTGGATTTGTTCCATACTAAACCAAGTTTAATATATTAGAGACAACATGACCTGATTCTTGCATAACTGTAAAGAAGAGATAATTCTATCGGAGAACAATATGAATGGCAATTTTAGGAAATAAATTGCTATCAAGTTCTGTTTGGAAGCAGTAAACTTTGTAAGTTTTTACTTATGTATAAAACAAGATATAAGAGTTGAAATAAAATGTTTATCACAAGACTTGCATGAATAAAAACTGCTACGTTTAATAATGAAATGAAATAAAAGCAAATAAAAATGACCGATTTCAAAGCATGCCTTACAACAAAATACAACACCAAAATCATAGATGAACATATGTCTGAAGTGGCAGAAATGTGAAAAAAATAATTAAGCAAGTAATCTTTCAGATGTGCAAAATCTGCAAAATAGCAAATCTAACTTAAAAATATAAATTTAGAATTCCGTTTACGCTTATAATCCAATGAAATTTTAAAAAGATTCTTCCACTGATTCAGTCCCACTCTTGCTTATTCAATAAATGTTCTGCTATCCTAAATTATTGAAAATTATATATATATTATATAAATTCAGTGACTTCCATCTGTCTGTCACACTCTCTAAAATAGCCATTTATTGACTGACCAAAACCAAATTATGGGGAGAAGTGTAAACAGGTAAGGGGGTACAAAGTACAGTTGGTTTTACTAGTGTGCGTAGTTTAGTACAATAAATTTTCATTAATGTTTTTAAAATTATTTAACATACAAAATACTCCCACTATTTTAAAAACAATTTAATGATTAAAACAAAAAATACTTATTTAATAAAAATGCAATATTGTTTTTTGCATATCTTTTCTTTAAATATTATGTACAAGAATCCAGTTTCCAGTTCGCCCTGCATTTATGAGAACTATATACAAATCACAAATGCTTCAAAAATTTGGAATTTGGCTCCAGAAAGAAATATTTACACATGGCCAGTTGTATGTTGCATGCTCAAGAGTAAAAAAATCCTAAGAATTTATTCTTTGCTGTTAAAAAGAAAAAAAAAATTTACTTAAAATATGTTGTTTACTATGAAGTTCTATAAAATTAAATTAAAGAAATTGTTACACTGTGAAGTAGGGTTTTTGTCAAAGTATTTTCCCAAACAAATCAGCTTATTCAAATTTCATTGATTGGTTTTCTAAATTGAATAAAACTTAGAGTTTATAAATATTGACAAAACCTGTTAGCAGTAAATTCAACAATACTAAATATTTAGGATTTCAACATGCATCAGTGTGTTGCAAAAATAATAGTATTATATATGATTAAGACACATAAAATTTGTCACTTTGCTAATTAATGTTATATTCAGTTCCCTGACTCCAGAGTTTTGTAGACAAACCATTTTTTTAATCATTTCGTCCACTCATCAGGAGGTATACTACTACTAATAAATATTCTCAGGTGTGTATTGAAAACAGTGTTGTAAAACTTCACAATGGTTAGTTTTCAATCTTTGCCTGTACCATGTCACACAAGCAGGAGAACCCAGTCATGGCTATCATGGCTATAGAATTTCTGCAACCACATCACCCCTTACCTGGCCACCTAACTCCTCAGACTGCAACCCCCTTGATTATTATGCATGAGGCGCAGTTGAACAAAATACCAACAAAACTCCTTGTAACACCAAAGATGAACTGAAGGCAAGGATTATGCCAGCATTCACCAACTTAAACAAGGAGGCAGTTCAGAAAAATAGCAGGAGATTGCAAAGTCATCTGGAGTGCATGGTTGAAGCCAATGGCGATTTTATTGAATACTTTACGCTTCAGTATTTTAAGATATTTTTGTGTAATTTTGGTAAATATATTTGTTAAAATGTGGTATCAGGGATATTTTCAATGTTTGCATAATTTAGACAATTTATCCATCGCACTAATTTATATATATATATATATATATATATATATATATATATATATATATATATATATATATATACAGTTTATGGTCATTTATTAAAAAAGTGGTCCTACTTCTTTCAGTTGCATTCAAGTTGTCTGAAGATCACATGAGCATGAAACTCAGGTTACAACTAGGACTATCCTTTCATAGGAATTAACCTTGTCAAGCATTTTTTGCTCTGTCTAGGTAATCTAGGAATTGGGCACTTTACTGAATAGGTAAGTGTTTGCCTTTAGGAAGATAGCAAACAGTAAAAATTTCTTAGTGATATGTTTTGTTCTAAAAAAGACTTCTTCAGATTAATAATGGTTTTATTAATGGAATCAGTTTTATATATGGAAATTGGGGAGAAATAAAACAAAAACTAATCACAGTTTACATTGAAACGTTAAAGATACAGAGATGCTCAGCCTTTTAATCTTGGGCTTTTGATAAAAAAAAAAATAAAAAAATAAAGATATAAGAACAGAGGAGATTTGTTTATCAGATTTAATGAGGCTCCTTTTAATTAATTTGAAACAATTAAGAATATTCGGACCACTCCAGTTGGAGTGGGTCTTTTAAATAATAATCTATAAACAAGACAAAAAAAAGAAGAAAAAAAAACAGTAAAGGCAAAATCAATGAAATTGCATAAATTGTTGAAATGAAGAGAGAACTGAAATAGATGCAAAGAAAAAAAAAAACAGCAATTAAATAAACATGCAAAAAATATATATATATATATATATATATATATATATATATATATATATATATATAAAAACCATGCAGAATTGAAGTAATTGCTCTTTGCAATCAAAAAATTTTTTTTTTTAATTTAAAATGGCAATATTCTATTTATAAGCATAATTTCATTTTTTTTAATTGGTTTTCCTCAAAGAAAATATGCAACTAAAAAAATATTGAAATGAAATATTCAATGAAATGAAATTCAAAAAATTTGGCATGTTTTCATAAGTCTTGCATAATCATTTTAATAAAGTTATGATGTGTGTGTATGTGTTTACAGAAATATTCAATCTATGAATTAATGATTCCATTATCATCAATCACATAAATATTAACAGATTTTTTTTTTTAGTCTCAGTTTCTTTTGGGGTTTTTTTCCCCATATAAGACAACTTTTTGACTTGTTGTTTCCACAAGGAACCAATATTTAAATCCTTGATCTTTGATTCTTTTTGGTCAATATCAGGCTTATCTGAGGTACTAACCATTTATTAATCCATTTATCTCTCCCAAAGCAACTTGCCACCATCAGTGGCTCTATACAGTATTTAAAGTGTACCATTCTATGTTATATAAAGAATACATATTTTCTTTTATATTCCAAGTTTTGTATAGAATCCAGTGGAATAGCGAGAGTGTGTGACACCCAGAGCAGCCCTTGAGTTTGCCAGTACAAAAAAGTACATATTGCACAGTGATTCACTCTTAAAGTTCATATATATATATATATATATATATATATATATATATATATATATATATATATATATGAATTAGTTTGTTTTTCCAAATATAGTATGTTTTAATTACACATCAAGCATATTAAACGATATATAGCGAAAAGGTGTAAAAAAATTAGGACATCTTTATTTCTGAAATGAAAATTACAACTTTCTACAAAGTATATTTTCTTGCATTTTTGCTGGCAAATTCTTCAATGACATCATAACTATTTCATCTGTCAATTGTTGCTCTATAGACAGTCTGTCAAGATTTTTCAACTGCAAAGTGCTCATAGTAGATCTTAAAGTAATTCTTGATCAGTTTTTGTTTTGAAAAACTTCTCTCACAGATAGCAACACTAACAGCAATTGTGAGGAAATTCCACAGTATTATTATTATATTTAGAACCAAATTCCCAAGGTTATACTTTTGAATAAACTGCAAAAGTTTAAGGGAGCTTTCTTTCCATGTCTATATTCTCTCTTTAA